TCCCTGGATGCTGCAGCCCGGAGCCGCGCCCGCGCCCGCGGCCCCGGTGAGACACGGGGGATGGGGGGGACCTGCGTGTGTGTCTGCGCGCGTGTCTGTCTGCATGGCTGTGCATGGGTACGTGTCTGCACGGGTGTGCCCGTGGCCATGGGTGTGTGTGCATGCGCGTGTGTGAGAGCATCTGGGTGTGTGTGTGCATGGCTGTATTGTGTGCGCGCATCTGTATGCATGCATGTGTGCCAGGGGGGAGGCGTGTGTGTGTGCATGGGGGCGCGTGTGTGCATGCGTGCCATTGCACATGGGAGCAGGTGCACATGTGTGTGTGCATGTCGACGTGCCCTCTCCCGTGGCAGCGTGCTCCCCTGTGCAGGCGTATTGTTGCATGCACCCACTCATATCCTTGCCCGTGTGTGTGTGTGTGTGTGTGTGTGCAGACCCATGCATCCCTGGGTGGGGAGAGGGGGGCAGCACCCTCTCCTGCTACCCCCCACTCGGGGCGCTGGAGCCGGGGCCTGGGCAGCCCGTCCCTGCCGCTCCCTGCAGGCCGGGGGGGCAGCAGAGGCCCCGGAGCTGGAGCCAGGTGGTGGCTGGGGGGGCTCCATGCTGTGCCGCGTGTAGGCCCAGGCCTCCGAGCTGCGATGGGGGGGGGCTGTGTCAGCTGAAGGTGATGGGCAGGGAGCCAGCCTTGGCTGGAGGGACAGACCAGGGATGCCGGGGCTTGTCCTGCGGGCAGGGGCTGGAGCTGCACCCTGGGCTCCCGGGCACCGCCTCCCAGCTGCCGGGGCCGGAGCAAGCCCCAGCCCCAGGAGGGAGGCTGGAGCTCCATCCATCTGGCTGCAGCTGCGGCCTGGTCTCCACCGTGCTGCCCAGCGCGTGTACATGTGGGCACAGATGTGCACGCGAGTGAGCCAGGGTGGAGGCGCGTGGATGCTCTTTTTGCAGGGCACCAAGGGTTAATGCCTCACCCTGGGCACCTGCCTTTTTCCTGCTGCCCCGGGGTCCGGGTCTGTCTGGGGGTCCCTGGAGCCTTGCGGGGGGCTGGAGGGGGTGGGAGGCCCCTGGGATGCCCCAGTTACCTCTGGGGGGTATGCAGGTGCACGTGTGTGTGTATGGGCATGCGTGTATGCTCCCGTATGGGTATGCATGTATGCATGTGTTTGTATGTGCATGCATGTGTACGTGGGTGCATCTGTGTATGCACGTGTGTGTGCCTGCATGTGTGCACGCATCTGCCCCATCGGCGGCATCCTCATTTCTCAGCCCCACTCTGGTGGGGGGGGGGGCTGGTTCCCCCCCCCCCCGCAGAGCAGCTGTGTACAGCACGAGGCTGGGGTCCGGACGCCTGGGTTCTGTCCAGGGAGAGGGGTCTAGTGGTTAGAGCAGGGGTGCATGGAGCCCACGTGCTGCACTGTGCCAATGCCCCCACTGCGATGCCTCTGCAGGGTCCAGGGGCAGGGTCCTGGGCTGGACGGGGTTGCAGGGCTGGACCGTGCGGGCAGCTCTGACCTCGTGTCCCCGCAGCCGCCCGCCCCCATGGCCGACGTGGCCGAGCTGGATAACATGGACGCGCAGACGCAGAACAACAACAGCCGGTGGGAGAGCGGCGACCCCCGCGCCTGGGACGACACCACCGCCACTGCCAAGCTCTTCGAGTGCTCCCGCATCAAGGCCCTCGCCGGTACGGGGCCGCCCGGACGCCTGGGTTCTCTCCCCGCACCTGTGGCAGAGCCGGGGAGGGAGGCCGGGACACGGCCGGGACGCCTGGATTCTCCTCCAGCAGCCTGGAGCTGGGAGCCAGGACGCCCGGGTCCTGTTCCCAGCTCTGGGGCGGTGGCGGGGTCACCTGGGGTCCTTTCCAGGCTCTGCAGAGGTGGTAGGACCTGAGAGCCCAGATGCCTGGGTCCCATTCCTGGCTCCAGGGGGGGCTGGAGCCAGGATCAAGGCCGGGGGCGCTGGCTGACCCACCTGGCCCCCCGCAGACGAGCGCGAAGCCGTGCAGAAGAAAACCTTCACCAAGTGGGTGAACTCGCACCTGGCGCGCGTCTCCTGCCGCATCGGCGACCTCTACACCGACCTGCGGGACGGCCCCGTGCTCACCCGGCTGCTGGAGGTGCTGTCGGGGGAGCAGCTGGTGAGTCCCCCCCCAGCCCCGGCCTGCTCCAGCCAGGGCCCGTCCCCGGGGTCTGCCGGGGGGTTGCGGGATCCCTGCTGGGACGGGACTGCAGCAGGACGGAGCCGGGGTCTGAGCCAGGCCAGGGCAGCTCTCGTTGTCCTGGGGGTGGCGGTGGCCGTGGGTCATGCCCCTGCCTGCGCCCCCCCAGCCCAAGCCGACGCGGGGCCGGATGAGGATCCACTCGCTGGAGAACGTGGACAAGGCGCTGCAGTTCCTCAAGGAGCAGCGCGTGCACCTGGAGAACGTGGGCTCCCACGACATCGTGGACGGCAACCACCGCCTGACGCTCGGCCTCATCTGGACCATCATCCTGCGCTTCCAGGTACCACGGCCACGGGCCGGCTCCCGGGAGACCCTCGGTGCACCTGGCTCCGGCCCCGAGGGTCAGCTGCGAGCCCCCACTCAGGGCAGGGGAGCACCCAGGTGTCCGGGGCAGGGGTACGTCAGTGCTTGCGCCCATTCCCTAGATCCAGGTGATCAAGATTGAGACGGAAGACAACCGGGAGACACGATCAGCCAAGGACGCGCTGCTGCTCTGGTGCCAGATGAAGACAGCAGGGTGAGCAGGGCGGGGGGAGCCCGGGGCGGCTCCGGGGGGCTCGGGACCCCACGGGACCCCTGGGCTGACGCCTCCGGCCCCTGGCTCAGGTACCCCGAGGTGAACATCCAGAACTTCACCACGAGCTGGCGCGACGGCCTGGCCTTCAACGCGCTCATCCACAAGCACAGGTCGAGCAGCCGGAGCCCGGACGCCTGGGCTCTGTCTCGGGGAGGGGAGTGGGGTGCAGTGGTCGGAGTGGGGGCCAACGGGCGCTCTCTTGCTCCCAGGCCCGACATCATCGACTTCGACAAGCTGGCCAAGTCCAACGCCACCTACAACCTGCAGCAGGCCTTCAACGCGGCCGAGGCGCACCTGGGCCTCACCAAGCTGCTCGACCCTGAGGGTAAGGCGGGGCTGGGGGGGCACAGGGCCTCCGCGAGGGGCTGCGACCTGAGCCCCGGGGGGACATCCAGCACATAACTGGGGGGACCGGGGCCACGCTCAGATCCCCGACGCCGCCTCTCTCGGCAGACGTGAGCATGGAGAACCCGGACGAGAAGTCCATCATCACCTACGTGGTCTCCTTCTACCACTACTTCTCCAAGATGAAGGCGCTGGCCGTGGAGGGGAAGCGCATCGGCAAGGTGGGGGTCGCGGGCACCATCCGGGCCTGGGGCAACCCGCACGCTCTGTTCCCTGCCGCGCTTCCGGTAGCGCCTGCCCCGGACGCAGCCACGAAGGCCAAGGGCACTGTGGATCTCATATGGGGGCAGGGGCAAGCAGCTATGGGGCATGGCGGGGGGCCCAGCGCTAGCCCTGGGGAGCCGGGGCAGATGGAGGTTATGGTTCCTGGGGACCGTGATCACAGTTGAGATGTGGGGGTATCCAGCCTGGTGCCCTGTGTCCATGGGGTACCTGGCATGGGTCCCTGAACCCATGGGAGGTAACCAGCATGGGTCCTTGAGCCCATGGTGGGTGTTTGGCATGAGTTCTTGAGCCCGTGGGGGTACCCAGCATGGGTCCTTGAGCCCACGGGTGTACCCGGTGTGGGCCCTTGAGCCCATGGCGGGTATCTGGCATGGTCCTTGAATCTGTGGGGTACCTGGCATGGGTCCCTAAGCCCATAGGAGGTACCTGGCATGGACTCTTGAGCCCCGGGAGTCCCTGGCATTGGTCCTTGAGCCCATGGGGGGTACCCGGCATGGGTCCCTGAGCCCATGGGGGGTACCCGGTGTGGACCCTTGAGCCTGTGGGGGTACCCAGCATGGGTCCCTGAGCCCATGGGGGGGTACCTGGCATGGGTCCTTGAGCCCATGGGGGTACCCGGTGTGGACCCTTGAGCCTGTGGGGGTACCTGGCATAGGTCCTTGAGCCCATGGCGGGTAACCAGCGTGGGTCCTTGAGCCCGTCAGGTACTCAGTGTGGGTCCTTGAATCCATGGGGGATACCTGGCATGGTGCTCTGGGCCTGTGGGGGTACCCGGCATGGGTCCTGGTCCTGTGTGGGTACCCAGCATGGGTCCTTGAGCCCGTGGGGTACCCGGCGTGGTGCACTGAGCCCGCGGGGGTAACTGGCCCGGTGCCGCCGGCAGGTGCTGGACCATGCGGTGGAGGTGGAGAGGCTGGCGGGGCGCTACGAGCAGCTGGCGGGCGAGCTGCTGGAGTGGGTGGAGCGCACCGTGAGCCTCATCAGCAACCAGAAGTTCGCCAACTCCCTGGCT